ACTTTGGTTATTTTTAAATCTAGTACTTTCAAACCTGTGCCACTAGAGCCTCCTATTATATTATTGAAAGATGTTTATTATAGAATAATTTGTGAAAGCAAACAAAATAAAGCAAAAATAATTAAATCTGGAAAACACTTTAATAAATACAAATTAGGAAAAAACCAAAAATAAACAAACAAAAAACTCACTACCATCGAGTTGATACTGACTCACAGCAACCTTGTAGGACAGGGTAGAACGGACCCTCTAGGTTTCTGAGACTGTTACTCTTTCCTAGAGTCGAAAGCCTCTCTTTTCTCTCAAATAAAGGAATGCATACATAAATATGAATAGGTCTATACCATGGAATGCTCTGCTGTTACTAAGGAGAATGAATCAGTTATTAAGAATTGACCTGGAGATATGGTAATATTATGCTACTCTTAAGTAGGATGGTATGATATCAAGAAAGAAAAAAAACTTCTGTATGTATACATTCATTTACATGAGATAAATTATGAAAGGATGAACATTCATTTTATTATTTATTACCTTGGAAGATAAAGGATGTGGCAGTTAGATTTTATGTCAACTTTCATTTGTAGAAGGGTGGAGTCCCACCTGTCAATCAGGTCACAGCCTGATGATGCCTCCTAGGGATATGGCCTTTATATAAGAGAGAAACTGGGCATTTCTCCTTCCTCTCTTTCTTCCCCTTTGTCTTACTGCCTTCCAAGTCTGTGCCTGCTTCCAGGGACAGCCCCATGTGGGCTGCCTGACACTGAGATCTCAGTAGCCTTCCATGTTTCCACCAATCTTGGATCCATATGACTCTGCACCCAAGAGCCTATGATCTCCTTGAATCCTGCTTCACCTTTATGTATCATTGACCTTCGGGTACGTGAGTCTGAAGAGGACTCTGGAAAACATTGAATCCATGAACTTGAATTGAGCTGGCCTATGATACTTTCTTGATATTAAGTTACTTCTTGATATAAAGTTCCTTCTTCTACATATATGAGTAGCACTGGTTTTGTTTCTCTTAACAACCCAGCATAATACAGGGTAGAAGGAAATATATATTGATAATATATATTAATTTTAATTCATTGATAATATATATTAACTTTATAATGAAAGAAAAATAGGATAGAATATGTTGAAACATATATCTCAAAACATGTATATGATTAACCATGGCTGTGCATAATTCTTCATAGTATATATTGCCCAAAATGTCATATGTAAAACCCAATATGAACTTGAATGTAAAGTGCCTTCTCAGTCGTTCATCAGATCAAATAGATATACCTATAGCTACCTAAGAAGACAACTGTGGAGAGAGTGAACTTTTATTTTTCTTTAAAGTGGAAATGAGGTGCAAGCTCTGGCTTGTTTTTCAAATTCATAAATATCTTAAGCATGTAGAGACTGCACTCTATCATTCAAGTTCACAGCATGTGTCATTTGAAATTTTGTTGTCATTTGACTAAACTTCTTGCATAAATCTTTTCGAGATAGAGTATAATGTGTAGTTTAAAGAGGCATTTTCTGGAATCATAGTGCTTACAAAGTATGTCATCTTTCATAGATGTATGTATGGCTGTGATAATAACTGTAAGAGCCCTCGATAAAATGCTTTTAAAAAATAAATAAATCAAAATGGGAAAAAGGGTATGTGAGTTTTAATGTGATTAAGTTACCTTGCTAGTGAAATGAAAATAAATACAAATCAATACCAAACAAAGAATAAGGGAAAAAACCTGTCAATATACTTCTAAAATCACTGGCCAGTGAAAATCTTATGAATAGTATGGAAACATTGTCTGATATAATGCCATATGATTACTCTCAAAATACAGCTGGGGGAAATTGTCTCCTCAACACAGTCAACCATAATAGCACACAGTAAAGCTTTGGGGATCTTCATTTGCTGATGTGCCCGGGCTCTAAATGAAAGGAAATAACTACAAACATTCATTAATAATTGGAAGGTGAAATGTACAAAGTGAGAATCTAGGCAAATTTTAAGTTGTCAAAAATTGAATGGAGCACATAAAGATCACTATTGTAGGCACAGTGAACTGAAATAGACATTAGCCATTTTCAGTTTAATAATCACATAGTCTACTATGCTAGGAATGACAAACTGAAGAGGAACATTACATTCCTCTTCAAAAGGAACATTTTAGGATCTGTCCTAAGGTACAGCAGTGTCAGTGGTGAGAAAATATTCATACCAACTACTAATGCCAAAGAAGAAATGAATGACTTTTACTAGCTTCTGCAGCCAGAAATCAATGAAACATGCAATCAAGATCTCTTAATAATTACTAGGCACTTTGAATGCCAAGTTGGAAACAGAAATATCACTAGTTGGAAAATATGACCTTGATAGTAGAAAGGGCAATGGGGATTATATTATAGAAATATGCACCACTAGTGCCTTATCTATTGCAAATACTTTAAAAAAGTAAATAAATGGTGACTATACACATAGATCTTGCCAAATAAAATACAGTGGAATCGAATCCACTTCATCTATGGAAGAAAGCTCAATATTATCAGTCAGAACTAGCACAAACACAAATTATGGAATACCCCATCAATTATTCCTATGCAAATTCATATTGAAGGTGAGGAAAATTGAAACAAATCCTCAAGAGCTAAAGCATGACCATGAGTATACCCTACCTGATTTTAGAGAGCATCTCAAGAATAGATTTGGCTTATTGAGCACTTAAGACCAGTTGTCTCATAGCATCAAGGGCATTAGACATGAAGAAAGCAAACATCATTAAAAAGAAAGGGAAGGGAGAAAACACCATAATGAATATCAGATGAGACTCTGAATTTTTCTCTTGACCACAGATAGTGCAAATGGATCAAGTAAAATAATTGAACAGAATAGTTTAAAGAGTGGCTCAAGAAGACCAAGTAATGCATCATAATGAAGTGGGAAAGTATTTCTAATTAGAGTCTCAAAGGAAAAAACACATTCAACATTTCTCAAATTAAAAGAACAAGAAAAATGTCAACCCTTGAGGTGCAATATTGAAGGATCCTATCTGGAGTTAGGAGAAAGTGTCAAAAGAAGATGGAAGAAATACACAGTCACTGCTTCCTTTAATTTGCCAACAGCCAACCATTTCATTAAGTATCGTGTGATCAAGACCCAATGGCGCCAAACGAAGATATCTGTGCTAGGCTGGGTCATCTAGAGAAGTAAAACCAATGACTAGATAGATATATGGATAGATAGGTAGATAGATGATAGATAGATAGATAGATAGATAGATAGATAGATAGATAGATAGATTTATGACTGTATGAACCATTTTCATGATCAAGCCCAGTCTAGTTTCAAGTCCGTGTGTCAAAGGTTAAGCTAGAGGCTTCTCTTAACTCACATAGCTTTATAGTTTTGGGGATAATAACTCTAGAAACAATAAAAGCAGATGAATTCAAGGTCAGTAGGTCAGACTTGTGACTGGAGAAGCAAATTCATCCACAGTTGTCAGAGCAAAGGGCAGGCTGCCGATGGCTGCCAGGATTAGGAGGCACTGTGGCAGAAAGTGTGCGCAAGTTCAAAGAAACCTGAGATTGGTGAGCCAGATACAGAATCTAGACCCAGCAAAGGTTTCCACAATGTCTATTTATCAGAAGAAGACCACACCTCTGAGGAAACCTTTCAATTACATCATGGTTTGAACTGAGTAAGGGAGTTGCAAGCCACCTTAATTTTCTTACAACCACTAAGCTGCTCCAGCAGTCTCCATCCTGGAGTTGATTCCATTATATTAGATCTCACAGTGACTAGGCCTCCCCTGCCAAACCACTGAGTAACCTCACTCAGCCAAGTTGACACAAAACTTAACTATCATGTCATCCAAGCTGCACTGAAGGCATTGGTGAAAAGTGAGGTCCTAGGAATTAACCAAATTTAACAGTTTAAATTTTCCAATAAATCATCGCAGTACCAGAGGCACCTATGCATCAATTTGCAGATATTTGGCAGATGGCTACCTGACTAACTCCCTGCAAGTGATCTGTGATAGTTAGGTCTTTTGTGCCAACACGGCACCTGTAAGAAGATATGGGTGGAGTTTAGCCTGTCAATCAAGTCACAACCTGACGACTTCCTTTGGAGCTGCAACTGAGACATGGAGCTCTATGGAGGCCAGCCTCACTTTCTTTGCCTTCACCTCCCTGCTTAATGACCACCTTGAGAGCTGCTGGATCCCCGCCAGATTTTCCACTAACCTTGGAGCCACCAACCACCAATACATTTGTTGAAGAGGATATATATTGGAAAGCCAGACAATGAAAAAGGAAGACCAAAGAGGAATTGATGCCTTTGACTTTGGCTGGTATTGGTGAAGAATTTTAAATAGACTATGTGCCAGAGCATAAATAAATTTCTCTTGGAAGAAATCCAGCCAGAATTCTCCTTAGAAACAAGGATTGTGAGACTTTGTCTCACAGATTTCATACAACTTATGAGAGGAATCAATTCCTGGTGAAGGACATCATGGTTGGTAAGGCAGAGGGTCACACACAAAAAAGAGGAAGACTCTTAAGGAGATGGATTGATACAATGAGTGCAGCAATGGGTTCAGACAGAAATGATTTTGAGAATGGTGTAAACCAGGCAGTGTTTCATTCTGTTGTACACGGGATCAATAGTAGTGAAAAGAGACTTACAGGTACCTTATAACAATAGCAACCACAGTGGATTGCTTGTGGTTAGTAATTAGTGTTGCATGATGTGTAGTTTATCTAGGGGAGCAGTAAAGAGCAGGCACATGGAAAACTCTGATATATCAACAGAGTCATGGCTTGGAGTACCTGGCAGGAAATGTACTTGGCAGGGTCAATAGTATTACATTTTGACAGCTCTAATATGTTTCCCATCTTTCTACTTTGCAGACAACCATTTTCAGCACATTGGCCAAGGAGAAGTCTTTGTCTGACTACAAAAAAGTAAGTAAGCCTTCAAGAATCCAAGAATATTGTCAGTGTAATAAAAGGTTTCAGAGTTGGTAACATTCCATTGAAAACCTGTGGTTACCAATGATACTATTTTGATGGCATATGGTGGCTCTCTTTCTTCAAAGGAAAGTATTTGAATGACTCTCTAAAAGATGTGGGTAACGGCCATTACCTCTTTGACAGCATATTGTTATAAAGATGCGTTGATTCCATATATCTCTATCTTGCTGTTATATGAAATTTTATTCTGCAAAATGCAAGTCAAAGGAGTTCAGTACATGTACAAGCTGCATGGCAGGAGTCTATATCTTTGTTTGCAAATTTAAATCTAATAAACCTAAGCCCAATACAATATAAAACTGATTTTACATTTTGAAAGCTGATCATGTAATATAAAAATCTGGTTTGTATTTACAACAGCCAAGTCTGAGAAGCTGTCATGCTTTGCAAAAGGATTAGCCTCACTAGCTTCTGATGGGAAACGTCCTGTAATAGATCATGCCTGAAGACTGCGTGTGACGGCAGCGTATCTAATGCCTGGCCCTCATTGTCCAGAGGTCACTTTTATCCATCTCTTTAATCTCCAGTTTAACTAGCACTTCTCCTTCTGGTGGGAAAAGATGTGATTTCACAGTGTAAACACTCCAAATAAAATTCTTTGACACTCTCTATTAATATGGAAAATCAGGTGCAGAATGAGTTGACCTGTGCATAATGTATTAGTGTCTTGACATTTCTTTGGGATTTATGCCGTGGCATTGTTTGTTACGCTGTTTCCATTTCTTATGTTGCTTAATGTGGAAATACTGAAGAGGGATACTGATCTTTCAAGATGATGTGTAGTTGGACTGCTGTAAGTGCCAACCACTTCACTATTTTGGTGGTTTTTGATGGCTCAAGAAATGACCTTTTTGACTGAGTTCCTCTGTATTTGTCTTGTCCTCTTCATGAGTCCTGGGCTCTCTGAGAATTGTTCTTTGCTGGGGAGCTGATTCTGACTCACAGAGACCCCACGTATGAAAATAGAACAGTTTCATGGGGGTTTCTTTCCATCCCTGGTGGTACAGTGGTTAAAGTGCTGGGCTGTTAACTGCTAAAGGTTGGCAATTTGCACTCACCAGCCACTCTGTGGGAGAACAATGGAGTAGATCGCCTGCTTCTGTAAATGTCATGCCCTTTGATATCACGTGGGGCAGTTGGCTCTACCCTACAGGGTAGAAATGAATCAGAATCAACTGAATGGAAATTGTTTGGGAGGTTTTCCCTTTCAGAGACCAATCACTATGCTTAGAGTGATCTATATGTTACATAGCCTGTCTTCCAAGCGGTCTACAGGTGAGTTTGTACAGCAAACTTTCTGTTGGTAGTTGAATACTTTCTGCTGGTAGTCAAACCATTTAATAAACAAGTATTCATTAACTACTGTGTGGCATACACTGAAAAATAATGAAATATAAGGTGTGTCAGAACATTTGCCCTTATAAAACTTACAAACCAACCACCCAAACAAACCCACCACCATCATGGCAATTTTGACTCAGAGCAGTCCAAACAGGATTGCCAGGGCTATAAATCATTATCAGGGCAGATAAGAGATGGAATCCAAAATAATGGAATTTTTTCCCCAAAAGCTACATATTTAAAATTTTTTACAAAACAACCTTAGCACCTTCAAAGTACTCTCTCTATTACACTTAATGCATTTGTCAAATCTATGATTCATTCTTGGAAACATTTTTCAAACTCATCTGTTTGGGGAGCTGACAGCACCTCCCTTGTATTTTTCTTTGCCTCTTATATGTCTTCAAATTGTTGTCCTTTCATGTCCCTCTTCATGCACGGAAACAAAAAGAAGTCACATGGAGTGAGCTCAGGTGAGTAAGGTGCATGGAGCAAGAGAGGCATGCTGTTTTTTGCCAACAAGTGGCACACTGAGATAGCTATATGAGCAGGTGCATTGTTGAGCAGGTGCATTGTTGTAGTGGCTAGATCAGTCCCCCATCTGCCACAAATCAGGCCTTTTTTGTCACACACTGTTATGCAATCTTTTCAGAACCTTTAAATGGAAAGCTTGATTAACAGTCTGACCTGGTGGAATGAACTCCAAATATACTACAAGTCGACATTTTTGTCCATTCTGGAAACTGATGGATGTCCAGAATGATGTTTGTCATCAATCAACATCTCCCCTTTTTTGAAATGTCAAAACGACTCATACATTTGAGATTTTCCCAGAGAGTTGTTCTTGTAAGCTGTGTTCAACATCACAACAGTTTCTACAGCATTTTTCCCAAGCATGAAACAAAAGTTTGCAGCTTCACACTGTTCTCTTCAATCAGCCATCACAAAAATTCATCACAAAATTTCATCACAAAATGAATTCATCACACACATAAAAGAGTGAAACTGCTTTTACGAAAAAAATCACTGTGACTAGAGAGAACCTTCCCAGGTGGCGTCACGGAGTGCGCTAACTTAGAGTGAGTTGCAGGATGCTCACCTAGCAGGTAAAAATGCATCCTACAAAAGCTCCACTCCACCAGCACAATTCCAGTTTGGGGGGTTACCCCCCTGTAGTCTCATCTTTCTCCTGCAGAGCAATGGGTGGGCTTGAACCAATGATCTTGTGGATAGCAGTCTAACACTTACCTGAAAGAACTACCAGGGCTTCATCTAGAACTTCTAGGACTCATTAAGCAAGGAACTAGCAAAAGTGTGATAGATTATATGTGGTTTTCTTTTCTGTCCTTTTCATTCTTTCTTTTATTATACCAGGAGACTATAACGTAATTTAAGAATCAGGGGGAAATTATCGGTGGTGGGTGGAGGTGGGGCAGGGGCAGGACTTTTGCAGAGAGACTTAATGAATGACTTGGAATTAGCCAGGTGGAAATTAAGCATAGGTAGAAGAGATCCAAGTGTGAATGTCAAGCAAGAGGTCCTTGTAAGTGGAGAACAATACAAGGTTCAGAGTGCCTGAAAACTATAACTTTAAATGGAAAGTGGAGACTGGAGAGGAAAAACGTACTAGGGCCTGATCATGGAGGACTTTGGAAAATTACATTAAAATTTTAGACTTAATAGAAGTGAAACTGGAAAAATTTTAAAGGGCTTTGAACTTGGCAGGATAGATGTGGTATATGTGATGTCTATAATCTCCCTTTAAAATTATGTGGTTGAAGAATGATAGGACTGGTAAGATTTTCGACATGAAATCTAGTTTTAGACATGAAGTCAACTACAATTATCTAGGGAGAGATAGCAGTGGCCAGGATTTGAAAAATGGCAGTGGGGATCAAGATATATTTAGGCGATAAAATATAGTGATAGAAATATATTCAAACTATTGAATTGTATGGTACATGAATTATATGTCAACTAAACTGTTATATGTAAAAAAAAAGGTAATAGAGAGGAAGTACCTTAGAAGGAATTTCAGACTTCTGACATGCAACTTTCAAATAGTGGTGCCACCTTTGGATATAAGGACCTTCTGCTGTGTATGAACTTCAGGTGAGTTGATGAATTCCTATTGGTACATATCAAAGTTGTGGTGTTTGCAATGTATCCTAGTAAGGATAGCCAATGGGTGGCTTGGAATATAGACTTAGAATTAATGAATGCATTGCGGACTGGAGACAGGGATATGGGAGTGATATGTATATAGAGAATTATGGAAAGAGTGGAATAGATGAGACTACCCAGGAAAGGTATGGAGCTGTGAAAGAAGAAAGAAATACAAGAATATTAAAGAATATCGATGTATAAGGCCTTGGAGGAGACTAGGGTCTGTGAAGGAGACTGATTTAACAGCTGTAGAGAATGGAAGACACCAGAAGAGTCTTGTCACAGAAATCAGCTCCATCAAAAAGAAAAGTCTAGATGCGAGGGACTGTCATTAGTGTCAGAATCGTCTCCTAAGAAGGTGAGTAAAATAAGGACAGAGGAAGGGATAAATTAATTATCCATCGGTTTTAGCATAGTCAGTCATTGCTGGCTTTCACAAGATCAAAGTAATGGGACCAAGAGGCAGGTTGTAATGAGTCTGGGCTTGAGCAAGGTGAAGAAGTAGATACGATTACACGGAGTTCTCCTTTGGCGAGTTAATTGCAGAAAGAAAAGAGAAATGACCCGTTGGAGGGGATGATGGGGTGGAGGGAAGATCTCTTTTGAGGTAGAATATATTTAAGCGGTTTGAACACTGTGCATTCTGAGAAGACTGAGCCTGCCCACCAGTGCAGAGCCAAGTTCAACTTCGATAAAGAGTACCTTTTGCTCTGCTCCAGGGCGACAGAAAGAAAGGATGCAGTTCAGGTGCTTAAAAGCATGCGCAATTCATGCCCAGGAAGAAGCCAAAATGGGGCAACTGTTAAATCAA